TGAAACGCAGTCAACACACAAATAAATGTAACAAAATACTAAAAGGAAAAATTTAATGTACGTTTCGCTCAATTATGGAGAAATCGGATAATTTTCATACAACGTCTTATAACTGTTGTCGTATGAATAATGAATTAGCTAAGTAGGATAATGTTGTTCTCATAGTAAGCTTGGGCTACCTGTGGCATTCCTAATTGATTCATGAAGCCGAACTTTTCATGTACTTTATTCAATGTACCAGGTTCGGCTCATGAAAAGTTCGGCCTCATGATTCGCTTCGATAACGTCCTATTCGCCAACGTCCTAGTATCCTCCGACCCAAATACAAAATCAGTGGAGTTCCTATGGGTCGGTGCAGGGTCGACACTTGTTTTACGTTTTTATTATTATTATTATTATTATTATTATTATTATTATTCAAGAGAGAATGAGCTCTTTCTTTCTTGTATTATTATAGGTGCCTTTTTTTGTTTTTGTTTGTTTTTGTTTTGTTTTGGCTATTCTTACCTTTTATTAGTTCACCTTTGGCTGAAACATCGAGGAAACGTTTTTTTTTTCGGTTAGGATGATAGAAAAGATAACTCTCCAAGGGAGATCAGTTGCTATCAGGCTAAGACAAAAGTGTCAGTATTTTCAAGGAAACCATAAAATACACAGAAAAGGATAAAGTAGTTAAACTTTGGAATAATTAATAATAACAATTTTCTAAGTTAAGAAACTCTGGGAACTTCAAGTTACTTCTTTCTTAATAAATGCATTCAAACAGGCAAGGCTGCAAATACCGTAAAATTCCGAAAATAAGCCCCGGGGCTTATATTTTTCAAAGGCTTGAGGGGCTTATTTTTGGAGGGGCTTATCTACGGAGGGAAATTTGCGTTTTAAAATCTATTGAGCTAGCCTTTTAGTTAGTTACTTTGTATTTGGGGGCAATTTCCAAGTACAAGTCCCCGGGCGGCTTATATTTGGAGGGGCGATTTAACAGAGGGTGTTTTGCGTTACGAGTTTTTGGGGCTTATATTTGGAGGGGCTTATACATGGAGGAGCTTATTTTCGGAATTTTACGATAGCTGCATTGGATAGATCGATATTGTGAGACTGTGCGAGAATTTCTCTGTTAAGGAGCGGACATAAGGGGGTTCGATCTTGTTTTTTAAGAAAAATAATGGACAAGATTTGTACATACTGTAAGACACTGTCTTTTATTGAAACAATGATTCAAAGCTTTAATTAATTCAGTAATGCACTACATATTGAAGCAAACTAAACTGACATACAAGAAATAAAACAAAGATGCTATTAAGGTGATGCGAAGGTTTGACAAGAATCTCAATGTTACGAATAAAAACATTCCATATTTCCACTGTTTGAGAGATAATCTAGCTTGCGTGCCAGGCGTTCCAAAGGGAAGGAAACGGAGATTTTGGGTGCGTGAGAGGCGTGAAGGGCGCGCGAAGAATGAGGAAGGAGAACGCGTTCCTCTCCTCGCTTCTCCCTCGCGCGCGGTCTCGCTCTTACATTCCCTTCCCCCGCTGCCTTTCGAACGTTTGCCACGTATGCTAGAGATAATCAAGTTATTCTATCATCATATTCATCTTCCTAGCTCATTGATATAAATTTTACAAGGTGCTATTTTAATCCTCGAAAACTAATCCGCTTTTAACAATGGTCTTGCCTCAAAGCGGTTAGGCTACAAAAGGAATCGTGCCGTTTGATTTAATTGTTTTCACTTTTGGATTGGATTAAAGATTTTCGAGACGAAAATATTTTAAATGCGAAGGTTACCTCTTCGGCAGATTTTTTTACGTTGAGATGAAAGATTATATCACGACCTTTACTTTAACTACATATTATAGACTTAGGAAACGACCGACAATCTAATGGTATGCATGGTAATTAACCCGAGAGATAATGGGTTCCCCTGAAGCTGTAGTGATATATTTTCCATCCATAACAGATCACCTACAAAAAGTATCGCCAATCAATCGCTCTTAATATAACAGCCATTTTGTCTCGTCAAGCAACGAGAGGTAGCGGTGCGTGACAAGACAAAACGGCTGCATGGGAGACCAATTCCCTACGGGCTCAGCCGGTTATTGTGTCGTCACGAAAGGTGCCTCCCCGTAAGAAAAGGTACAGAAGCACTGCGTGACAAAACAAAGAACTGCTGCGCAGGACTAACATGCCGACATAATAATACAAAATTTTGATACTGTTATTAGAGTTTACTATTGACAATCTGATATACGACGAAAGTAGTTCACAAAGGGCTAAAAGGAAAATAACCAACAACAATACTTTCGCACCTAGCGCTTTACAGTCTATATTTGTAGAATGCTTTTATAACGAAATTAAAAGAGTGCCAATGTTAAAGACTCCTCTTATTAGGACTGGGGCCTAGATACTTCTTCTATCATTATCCGGGACACTGATTCAAACCCGGTGTAAGCATCACCCAAGGTTCCGCCACTACACTTTCCTACCCATAATTCCACTCTAACAGCGCCTTGTGGGATGTTTTCACAGTAGCCCTCAAATGACCGATGATGCAGCAGATTAGGGTTCCCAGATGGCCAGTAGTTGTAAACAACAGCCTCAATCGTCATTGGTCCACTGCATTCATTTCCATTAAACTTGAAATACCATCGGTTACACTTGGCACTAGTATCGTCGACCCTCATGTTGCCCTGGAATGAGACTCTGAGCACTGAATTAGACTGCAGTTTGTTAAACGTACAGTCCTGGAATAAAAGCAAACAAATCAAACATATTGTAGTAAGGTGAGCAACCGTGTGTAGTGATTGATTCTAACAACTCCAGTCAAGATTCCTGCAAGATTACTTCCTATTTTTCAAAAAACTCTATAATAGCTTAAATTTTTGTTGTTCTTCTCCATATGGCCAGGAATCGTTTTATCAAGCACGATGGTTTTCTTTTTTTCGTTCAAAAAAAGAACCAAAATAGAGAGAAATTTAACTTAGTTATTTATGTAATGTGTTGGCAAACGGTGAGTGAGAGGGGAGACGTTCTTCTTTGAAACAATTTTAAAAAGGAATGAATTTTCTTAGGAGTGTGTTATGATTCTTATTCTATTTACCTTAATTTTTCCGTTATCAGTACCGCTCTCTGATTTCCACACACATTGTTTCCAGTTGGTTTGTGGTACTACACTTGCTTGACTTGCTTTGGCGCTTTCCCCTTTCTCTCCTTTGTCTCCTTTTCTTCCTGGATTTCCCACAATGCCTCGCTCTCATTTTATTCCCACTGCTCCGCGCTCTCCTTTCACTCCCACAATGCCTCGCTCTCCTTTCATTCCCAGAAGTCCCTGTTGACCTTGCATTCCCTTAATTCCTCGGGGTCCACTCTTCCCAGGGGGTCCTTCGCGCCCACCGTCTCCTCTTGCACCCGGTATTCCTTGCGATCCTTTATCACCAATTTGTCCCTTTGGACCTTCTCTTCCCTGGGGTCCATGTGGTCCCGGGACTCCCGGCACCCCCGGTATGCCGTTTGATCCTGGAATTCCAGGGGCACCTAGCATAGATCGCTGAAAGTAAAGATGATTTGCAATTTAAAGGCGAAGACGATACGGGATCTTAAATATCTGGGGGTCCTCCTGGGAATTCTTGGTGGGGGTGTGCTGAATCCTGTCTCTTTTTCAGAACAGAAAAAGTGTCATTTTTCGTTACACCCGTTTACAGACCTGGGGCCCGTTTCTAAAGTTCCGGGAACGTTTCGGACCCTGAAATCTGTTTTGTGTTCACCTTGTTCGCATTCACGATCAAAGTCTCAATAATTTTGAAAACGATGTAATAATAAAAAATATATATATGCTACTTAGTCAGTAAACAGCTAAAAAACACTACTTAGTGAGTAAGCAACAACAACAACAACAAAAACGTTTACTCAGTTAATCGCGCATGGTTGTGAATCCTGCAGATGTTAAAATCGTTTAAAGAGTGGGGTTTCCAAATCAATCACTCCCTTAAGACTCTCAAGTTCTCTCCCACTTTTCAAGTATGCAACGCACTGGTTTGCAATATTCTTTAACACTTTATCAAATCAGTTTGAAGAGAATTAAATCTTACAAATCCAGCCTAACTGACGCCCTGATTTCTCTAAGCTTGTCTACCATAGTTGAACCTGGAAGACGGCACCACTCTCTTCTTCATCCCTTTTCTCTAAATAAAATTCTTGAACAAAAGCACTCAATGACATATGAAATTCTGTGTACCGTCATTATCCTGCTTCTCATAACTAAAACAATCTAATTGGCTATCGGCAGCCCTGATTGCAGTATTGATAGGGCGATGTAGAAGGAAAGTTCGTGTCATGCGTAACTATAATTAGCGATTTTGTGTTAGCGCTCAAAAGATTACAGGCGGAATTAGATTTCATTCAGTCCTATTACGCCGGATTATAGCGGAGCTCCACGCGCGCGCGAAGCGCGTGGACGGAGCCCCATAGCTAAGGAAATGTGGTAATCTACCCATCCGAGAAAATTTGGTAATCACGTGACCGTACGACCGTCCGTCCGCACCACAGGGAAACCAATGTTAACTCTCACACTTTCTAGCTAGTTTGGGAGCCCAATAGAAAACTAATTGCACATCAATGTTGTGATCAGTTGACAGCTGTCAAAACAGGATATCCGCTGACCAGTATCACCTGACCGTACCGCGGGCTCAAGTGTCGACCCATCGAGGTCGAGTACTTTTTTGAAGTTATCTGCTGACAAATAACCAGTTTCAAATGATCGCAGGCTCAAGTCTATTTTTTCCAATGGTTCATATGAAATATGTTGTGTTTATGTCACTATGGCCCCGCACTGTCAAGATTTTGATTTCAAACTGACCTCGGACGCGAAAATTCAGCCACTTTTTTAAAAATAAAGGCGGGGAAGACCTTTTCTTACCATGGTCACGCGTTGGTCACGCTCTACGTCCAATTTTTGTACTCTGATTGGTCAAAATTTGACAGGTGAGTTCATGCGGAAAATTTATGCAGCATCTTGAAAGTTGTTTACTTTGACAGCTAAAGCTGACAGAGTTTTGTGTCAACTTGTGATGTTTTTAACTGTCTTTTTCCACTGGATGTACAAAATGAAATACAGCTGCTATCAAGAGTCTTCTGTTATCCATGGCTGGTTTGTTTATTGGGTTTTTGGTTGAGAAATGCGTCGCTTGTCAAAATTGGGTAATCCGATTTCGGATGGCATCGTTTTCGTCTTTCACTTTGCTCAATGCGTAAGAGGGTTTAAAAGTCTCCAGCAACTATGGCCTTCCTTGATATCTTTCAGGAACTGAATCTCGAATGGTAAGCCTGAGTAATTATTGTATTTAATGTTTGTTTTTGTTATATCTAATTTCATGAAGTCGAGCACAGTTTATGCGGCAAGTTTTTGCACGTTTGTTGAGATTTGAGTCAATGATCTGATCTAGTATCAGGTTTGATATAAGCTTACAGAACTTTAAAACGCCCTCAGATATATTTTCTCACGGCAAATAGAAAAAAAAAACGTTCCGAAGAATATTTAGTTATAAATTTGGCTGTAGAAAGAAAACTTTGAGTGATTTTCTTGTTTCGAGGAGTTCATCTTTGAAAAAAAACCAACACCGGGAGGCCGGCTGAAGGTAAAACAAAATAAACTTAAGCTTAAGCTTTAAGCTTAAACGGCTCAGGATTTTTAGAGACACTTTAATACTTGTCTTCGTGAATGAAAATTGTTGTCTCTGTAAATGTTTTACCGAATTATGTTTCTTTTATTGATTGTTAGTAGTCTCTCTTGCAATTTTAATCGCTTGTCCGTGGTGTTTGTTTTCATCGTTCATGAACATCGCAGGAGTACTTAGAAATGTCGCGCGTATCAAACGCTTTATAAGATTACACATCGTTATAACTGGAACCATTAAATAACAAAAAATAATGATAATAAATTCGTTATTATGTTGAAGCGTATCTCCATTAAAGTTCATTCAAACACTCGATCACACTGACAGCTCGCACTAAAAATGAGAACATGCTGGCCGTATGGGTGATTTTAGAAATTTTTTGAACGGTTTCGCTAAAAGCCCACGATTGATCGTCCTGAATATTGAAAAATTGTGAAATGCCGTATTCTGTCCGAGGTCTGTATGATAAAAAGTACTGTTTCACCTCAGATGTGGTGTATAAAAAGTATAAAAAGCTGGTTTACACACCCTCAGATTTGTTGGCAAGAATTTGTAATGTAAACCTGTCGAACGCAAAAAAATGCGGCCTGATTTGTTTTCCAAGAATTTGATTTCGAGGCCTAATCTACCGTGATCAAGAGCCATTATGGCTCTTGAATGTGATAGAAGATGTTTGCTATTTTTTGGGTGTACATATATTTAGGCTATCAACTCGATGTAAGATGTTTCACTCTAAAATAACTTATCCTTTCTCTCAAAAGTCACATGAATGTGCCCTTAAGTTAACTGATTTGTGGATTACAAGTTTATTGTTTGATTTAAAATATAAATTTATTAATGGGAGCTTCGCTTTTAGCCCTTGCTAAACCTATATATTAGACAGTACAAACACCTATTTGCATGATCAAGCAAGCAAAGAGGTAGGACACTGAGACAATACACCATTTTACACAAGAAAGCTGAAAGGGTTGCTGTATAAAAAAAAGTTCGTACATCTCTTTCATTCTCACCATATCGTCTTTTTATTTCAGAAAGTCCTCATTTGTCTGAACCAATGTTTAACTTTTTGGGTCTACTTCGCTCTGTATACGCTTAAAAAGTTACCTGTTTTTACACGTTTGTCAGTTAATATTTTGTATACGCTTACGATAGTGAAAAAAGGCCTTTATACGTTAAACAGTTAACCCTATTGGCACCCTCGTTTAAACCAAAGAGGATTAAAAATATTTTTCGAGTCTTATTCACTGATTGTGTAGTAAACGTGAAAATACAGTGAAAGAAACACGAAACAGAAACAGAAAACTCACGCTTTCCATAAAAAATGTTTAAGCCGTTGGTGTAAAAGTTTAAAAAAGGATTTGGTATGCCTATAATAGGCATTTACCGGTCTGCTAATACGTCGCTTACTCCTCCATTTTGGAGGATTCGTAAAAGCAGATTGAGCAAATGTTTTCTTGCCGCTTTCCTTTTACTGGTAGGTCACAGTCTTTTACTGTTCTGAGTGACTGCCTGCTGTGGTTTCATATCTTTGCTCTATTAGTATTGACCTCTGATCGCTAGCTGAAGGAGGGTGTTTCATAGTATTTTCCTTTCTTGTTTTCAAAAGTGACTTTATAGCCTTTAGGGTTTGTTTCTATAATTTCCTGAGAGATGGATCTGAATTATTATTTTTACAGTAAGTAAAAGGTTCCCTGGTATAGTTTTGACATACTGGACTTGCAGCTCTCAAGCGTCAGGATATAGAAGCTACTCCTGTAGTATAAAAAATTCCGAAAAAATTGCACCGCCACTCGGTTCACAAAGTTGCTTGAATCAGTCAACTCCAAGCCCTTTCAGGTAAATTAGAATAATGCAATTTGCGTGGTACCCGTATGTTGACTCCAAGCAAGCCTAAAATAACAACCTATGGACTACACTCTTTTTCTTATTTTTCCGCCCAGCAATGGAACGATATTCCCGACGAATTAGGGAACTGTAGTTTTTATTAATGATTTTAAGCGACGTGTGCAAAGTCTCAATACGTTTGATTAGTTTTCACTAATTTTTGTCTTATGTTGTGTGTGTATGTTTGTTTGTTTGTTTTTGTTTTTTTTTTTCTTAGAGATCTTATTTTTTTTTCTCGAAGATATTAGCTCTATAGTGTAGCTACTCTAAAATTCGAGGTAAAAAAAGGTTATGTAAACTATGACTGTATGTAAGTGTTAGAACTGGAGTGCTATGAAGTTATTATTTTTCCCTTTGCGGTTATTATGATATTTGCTAGCTAGGGAACAACATTACTTTGTTTTTGTAGCGAGAACAGTACAACCGTTCTGACTGGCTTAGTGTTGACCTTACACATTTATCAGGCCTTATCAAGGATCTGAAAAATTCTCGTTGTCCAATAGGCTGCTTAAAAGCCAAATACAGAAGCAAGGGGTGGATCTCGCATCCTTTTTTTTTTTTTCTTGAAGGATATGAAGGCATGCATTGTTCCTTTTTGGTGTGGCCCTTTGTCTTTGAGGATAGCTTACAATATCTCAGTGCTGTTATCTATGGCCCAAAGGTGGTATTCGCGGCACAAGAGAGGCTTTTCACTAGCTATTATACACATCCACTGTCCAACATACAATGATCTGAAAGAAGTCTTTGATCTGTTTCTAAGAAACACCCAAGGAATCTTGAGCTTGGCACACAATTGAAAGATCATGATGATGCAAAGATCTTGTAGCAAACCTAGCCGATAATACGTATTTACAACTTTCTTTCTACCTTTTTTTCTTTTTAAATAGCGCCATCCCTTGATGTTACTCTAAAACATTGGAGAATGGAGTACACCCATTTGAAAAAAAAAACAAAACAACAACAAACAAAAAAAAACAAAGAAAAAAACAACAAAGCTGGATGGAATCAGAGAAAATTAACCGTTCATGTTAAGATCATACTGGGGCAATAACTTTTAAATAAACTTTTGAAGATTTAAAGTTTGAGAAATACCTACTTTTTCAAAACTCTCAAAATACAGTCTCGCATAACTTATACCCCTCCCCCCCAGGGACTTGTGCTTCGGACATTGTTAATTTGATCCGTCTCGTTAGATCGCACCTCCCTGGAAAAGTCCTGGCTACGGGCCTGATATCATAATCCTCTTTAAAGCTGGATGGAATCAGAGAAAATTAACCGTTCATGTTGAGATCATACTGGGGCAATACCTTTTAAATAAACTGCCATACACTTTGTGAGGTACTTTTAAGTAAATGATTCGAAAATGGTCGTAATAATGTGAGCAATTAAATTGTTTGTTTATATACCTAATCTACGGCGTAGTACTCCTTTATATCATTATAAATGTCTTACCTGGCATAAGTCTTTTAACTTTGCGGTGTTTTGTTGCTGAGGTGATGTGGTTGTTCCCAGTGAACCGCCAGAAAAACAGAGAATCAAGAAAACCGTTTGAGCCAAATAATGAACCATGATGAGAGCTAAACCAGAACACTGCGATTACTGAGATCGGGGCTACGTGCGCATCAGTTAAATAGTGAATATTTGAAAGTCAATCTTCTGTTCCTGTTCATGGTTTGTTTGTTTTTGCTTATTCTATTTTCCTTTCAGGGCAATTATATTGCATTTTTTTTTTGTCTCTGGTCACGTGCCCACCTGCAGGGACTACTGAAACAGGGTCAAAAACATAAATTTTCAAAAAAATAAAGACAGTAAATTGTTACAAAGGTAACAATTTTTTTCATAGTTCTGCTTGGTGTAGCTTTGTGTTCCTAGAGCCTCCTAACGGCACCTGTCAAAAACTCTTAGACTGTGAAAACAGCTTTTCCTTCAGTCACATTTAGTCATGTTAAGAAAAAAATAATTATTAGAGTTTTAATTCAGTTCTAGCTAAATAAGCCCTTGACTTCTAAAGTATCTATTTTTATATTCCCTTATAGCTTATATCTTCATATCCACGTACCGTCATTAATTGAACTGAAGTTAGGTTACCTTTAATTAATTGGTCTGAGAAGGATAAGATGACCTTCTAAGATAAACTTGAGCGGTTTGTACGTGTAAGTGTTCTCTACTGCTGTCGCTGATGTCATAGAGGTGTGGCTGTTGTTCCAAAAAAAAAACGGCAAAGCACTAAAAAAATTGAACTTCGTGTGCACAATAATTGGTTTTAAGGAAGTGTATTTTGTTGGTGGTGGTGTTGATTTTTTTAATGCGTATACGCTGTGTTATTCACACAGTTTCTATATTTTACCACACTCTTTTCAGGAAGCTGAGCAAATAGGTAACCACATTGAAAAACGACGTTAAAAATTGGACAGTAGTGATGACTTTCATTTCCGTTTTTGCTGTACCTTAATCTCTCTGTTAGGCAGCCACAAAAGAAAGTATAGTATACAATTTATTAAAGTGCAAAATGATCATTTTAAATTTGTTCAGTACCGAGTTTAGCATCCAGGGAAACAAGCGCAAGTTTTTTCTTCAAAACCTTTAATGTAATGAGCATACTGTACGTGCACACGCATAAAGCTGAACGTGACTTGCGTGCAGGGTGTTATTTTAGTCAGTAGACAGATCTATATCTCCTATTATAATATATGAATCATCATTTAAGCTTAAGATCAGTTTGTCTTTGTAGTGAGATATTTCATTCCTTTAATTTCCTCTCTTGCTGAATCGTTTCTTGTTTTTTCCTTCATTCGTGACTAGCTACAGCCCAAAAGGATACTTCCTTCATACAAAGCGACGTTTCCGTTCCAGCACCTGAAACACTATAAGGAAGTTGAAGCCTTTTTTGCTGTCTGGACAGGTCAAGTGAAAGAAAATCACCATGTCAAGCAAGCTTTTCAATAACGACAACAAAGCAGTAACGACAATTTACATTATACCAGCCGAGAGTAAAAAAAAGCTTACAATAGAAATATATATTACATAGGTAGTAATAGCGAAGCTCTCGCGAGCGAAGCGCACGCAGCGGAGCACCATGGGTAAGCAAATGTGGTAAACTACCTATCCGAGAAAATTAGGTAATCACGTGACCGTATACCGACAGGCCGCCTGACCGTCCGTCCGCACCACAGGCATACCAATGTAAAATAACTTAATAAACAGGTATGGCAACCCAAATGCAACCCGAGGTTATTTTGACGGGAAGTCGCATAGCCAACCGCGTCTTGTGAAGCAGGGACAACTAAAGAGTCAATGAAGACGAAAACGGAAAGTGGAAATTGTCTCTGTATCCGTGTTTTCTAAAGTATTAAACTTAGATTAATTGTCATGTCCACAAATTTGGAATATAGAGCAGGAGAAAGACAGAGAAAAAGAGAAAGTAGGTGGCAGGCCAGCGAAGCTCAACGAGGAAAAGGGCGACAGAGATCTAGAGCGAGAGATAAAAAAACGAAGGAAGACATTTTTTTTGTTGGAAGAACAACATGAAAATTTTGTAGCGGCGGTAACAAAATGAGAAATGCTAGCGGCCACCAATGCAAGGTGAAAATGAGCGGCAGTGAAAAAAACGTGAACAACGACGCGTAGTCGTGCAAAAACAACGGCAAAGAAATGTACAAAAAAAGTGTGCTGCACGTGCAAAGTTGCTTTTTTGCTAATTAGACCTATTATTGTTTTTCACCGTTCTCCCACGTTGCCTTCGACGCTTAGCATTACAGGATTTTATATTTTGTTTGAGCAAACTATAAAAATTATCGAGAGCTTTGCTTTTAGCCCTGACTAAATCTATATATTATATAATTCATGATGCTGATTGTCTGGAATAATAACCACTCCACGGGGCGCTAAAAAGACCAGACAGTCATCATCTTTATGAGAAATTGAAATGATCTTAAAAGTCGGTACATGACAAGATGATTACAATAAAGTGTTCCTTAAGAATGTTCGGATTTCTGTTATCAACTTAGACCCTGTTTTGGCACGGGTCCGGATAAATATTTGAACTGACGAATTTTTTACCTGTGTATCGAGCTTACACGGAACCATGAAAATTCTGTTACAAATTGCACTAATGTTTATACGAGTCTGACGTACTAGGCGCAATATATCACTAAAGGATTCAATCGTGTTGTCGAGAGAGGATAGTTTATTACGCCAAAATAGTTCAATGAAATCCCATGAATGACTCCACCGAGGGATCTCATTCTTAACCGGTACGCGTCGGACTCGTGATGTATGGCGCGAGCTTTAAAATCCCCGGCGACTTCCACGCAAAAATGTAACAAACATGGCCTCTCAGTTTCGAAATATTCCCTTAAAAAACTTTATTAATTTTCTGTTGAAGCCCATTGTCCAAAAGTTTGGTTAGTGTAGGTCAAGCATTTATGAGAGGAGACAACGTTACACCAGTTTCAAGTCACTTATCTGAAACTATCGATCTCCATAAGAGTAAATTGTATGCGATGATAAAGGTCCATAAACAAAGCAGAATTTTTTCAAAGACATAAATTCTTTCGCTTCAAAAGTAGACAATCGTAAAATCGTCGAAGTAAATGGTGAATGGAAACTTAACAAAGAAAACAAAGAAGTAAGTACACTACTCCTGAAGGAAGCAATGTTGCTGTTTCTAGCTGTTGGTTCACGGTCAGTAAAAAGATCTGAAAGATCAAGCCAAGTCCTGAACAAACACTGAAGAATGTTTTCACCAGCGGAGCTCTTCGGCCACTTCATTTCTGTTACATTTGATTTGTTTTAAGAAATTCTAGAAGTGACTTTAATAGAAGATTACACAGGCAGTGTTGTTTAACCGACTCTTGATCTATCAGTGCTTAAAAAAACATAGGAGATAAAAGGTATCCTATTAGTACTTGCATCCTCAAGGAACCTTTCCGATCAACGAACCAACATCCTTGTACTTTTTCTTGTTTCAAAAAACCTTCAACGCACAAAAGACACACTAGAAAATGTTTTCGCGAAAAGAAAAATAACTTTTGAGTCACAGATTAGACCCTTGATGAAAACAATTGTCGTCCGTCATGCAGCAGAGGACGTGATGTACCCTTTTTAGATCGCCTCATTTCTAAACAGCTGCAGTAACTTTATACTATCTTGTTGTTGTTGTCCTTGTTGTTAAAATCTGTAAGAGCTAAATTCCTCTATTAAGAAAAATTACAAATTTCAAAGCATTGGCAAAACCGTCTTAACGACCCCATGCTCTTTTTTTTTTTTTTTCTCCTTCGAGGGAAATTAGAAATGTTAAGAAAAAATGATCAAAAATGACAAAGTTACTGCCTGTCTAAGGATGCGATGTTACCATGGCAACGGCCTTAATCCAGAAAATTAAGGTTGATAAAGGTACCTTCTTATATGGGTAACCTTAGTGGTGAACAAAAGCGTGAAGACAAAGTAACCAGATTTCTTTCTGTAACGTATGTTAGATAGCTAGATAGCTAGGGTTATCAGTAAATACTCTAGGGAGCCAGCATTTAGAGCTAGCCACGTAAGCTTAAGGTACTCTTGATCGAGAATCTTGGGGTAAATGAGAGGTTTTCAGCCCTACGTGGTAGCACGCTCGCTGTTGTCGAATTGTGGAGTTTCTAGTCACAAAAAATTTCACCGTTTTACGAAACAGTATAACAGTTACGGGTTTGGTAATTCCACGACTTTAAAATAACGCAGCGCAATTAAGTGATGCTTGATTATGATAATTAAAAGACACCGTTATGACGACATCATAATGGGATTTTATGGCAAGGCATTTAATAATGGTTTGCAGGCCAAGGCGGCAGGTTCCAAGCCTATCTTATTTCCAGCCAATCAGAATTTAGGGCGTTCCGGACTATATCATTCTTAGGGGAGCCTTTCCATGTGCTCGCCCCCTTTCGATCGCTCATCATCACGTTGTTCACATCGCTGGTTTGAACCAATTTTCAGCATTTTCCACCACCTCCCCTTCCGCTTGCCTGCGAATTAATTCCTAGTTTGTTTCTCTTTCTTGTCTTAGTGGGTGGCGGTTTTTCCCCCCACCTTTGCTGAAGAGATATTTAGTTTACTATATATTGGCAGACCTTGAAAATAAAGTTCGTCACCTTTGGTGGCCAAATTTTCTCCAACCAAATCCGACTCTGTGTTTATCTCCTCAGCAAACAAGTGCCCCGCCACGCAGAGCTCTTGGTCACGCAATGCAAGGTTTTCAGCTTCCTTTTTACCGAAAAATGGCTTGATATAAAAATTTGTTAAAGCAACATCTGCATAACTATGTTAGTTGGTGCTTGAGAATTAGCATGAGATTGTATTTTGCTATCTTAGGTGTTGGCAAGAGAAGTTTGTGGTGCGCTGGTTTTACGTGGGTTAATCAGATGCAAGCCTTACAGGCGCGGATCTAGGATAAATACTGACCGATTTCCTAAACGAGCGCCGAAGGCGCAAGCTTCTTGCCGGTTCCGCGGGCGGGTTCCCTCAGGAAGTTTCAGTGGATTTTGACTTCTTAAAATCCCCTTTCCAGGGTTTCCGAGTCATTCAGACAGGAT